GATGAAACACCTTCCCCTGGAACCCAGCTCATTGGCTTTTGCCCACCAGCTCCTGTTGGCTCTTCCTTATTATCAGCTCTTCTGGGCTCTGGGCCCTTATTTCCATCTCATAGTCAGATGGTCCATTTTCTTTGGGATGTCCTGCCAGCACCTCCAACTTGGCATATCTAAAACAAACCATAAGGTCTCTTTGCTGGTTAGTCGTCCTTCCATCATTCTTTATTCCACTATATTGTCACAACGGTGTCTTCCTTTCCATTACTTGTCATGACCCTACTGTGGGTGTTCTCTCTTGCCCGTGTCTGTCTTTTTGGTAGATGTTTCTGGTAACCTCTTAACTGCTCTTCCTACTTCTAACTCCTGTCCATTCATTCCACTCTGTGTTTTCCAACATTTGTCTTTCTTACACACAGCTCTGTCTCCACTTGCTCCAGAATATTCAGCCCCTACTTGATTTTCTAATATCAAGGCTTTCATGACCTAGTCTCACTGTTTATTCCGTTCTCCATCTGGACTTTTGGAAATCTCTTAGAATTTCCCCTGCCCATATCCATCTGGAAAATTCCTGTTCACCCACCATGTCATCCCCTCAGGTCACTTCAGATGGAAATTCTTCCTCCTTCTCTAATCTTTTAGTCCTCGTTTATTCTTCGAGGACATTTCCCCATCAGCAGCTAGCAGTGAGTGTTTAGTCATTATTCAGTGAATGTTTATCAAATCAATGTGCATCACAGGTCAAAAGACTTAGTGCCAACATTTTGGGCCCCAGGAGAGACCAGAAGGGAGAGATTTTAGGGGAACAGTGACCTGCCTGGTGTCCCTCACCGTATTCTAAGTACAGCTTCACTCAATCTACACATCAGGTTGATTCTGGCTGCCACTATGGCATGATCACGGGGAGATCTCTCTTTCCTGACTTCACTCCCACTTAAAACTTGATCCAGTGGTCTCCTCATCAGCAATCTGAGTTTCTTTCTGTTTAACCTGAGCAGCTTTATAAAATAGCCTAGGCCATTTAGTAAAGACTGGGAAGGTGAATTTTCACTGCTAGAATTTTTTCTTTTAAAAAAGAAACAGTTCCTTTGAGTAGTTGAGAAATAGTGTCCTAGAGATTAATACATGGGAAGGTGGCATGTGTTTCCTGATGATGGATGTAGCATTATGGAAGGGTCTAGTGAAATAACACTGACAATGGGCCAAAACAAAACAAAACAAAATTCTAATTTATTTGGAATTACAGCAAAACTATAAGTAGCATTTCTTCTCAACTATTTCCATTGTATTTATGGTCTATGTTTAGCCTTAAGAAATTCAAATAATGAAGAAGGTCTGTTGGTAAACTCAAGAGCTTTAGAAATTTTTTATCTTTAATTTATGAATTTTGCCAATAATTAGTGTTTCTCAATCACTCACAGTTGGGGTTGGTGCTATACTTGCAAGTTATGGGAAATGCGTGTACCTGTGCCTAAAAAATGGTGACTGTTCAGGGGCTTGTCTCCCTGATCTGACAGACTGATATGGCAGAGAGCTGCATTTCTTCCAGAACACCTGCCTCTTGTTTCTGACAGAATTCCAAAGACACACAACTCTCTCTTCCTTTTCTGACATGAAACCAAGACCTCCCTTACCTGGGGTGACAGCTTTTCATTAATCTTTGTTTCTGGGGAAGGATAGTTTTTCAGATATTTTTTGATAGGTTTTCAGATATTTCCCTCTGAACTGGAAGTGCTTCTTAAATGCACGTCCCCCCGCCCTCCAACACACACATGCCACATAGAATTTGTGGCTTATTTTAAGAACAGCATAAAACATGGATCCCACAGTCAGCACAAAATACCAGCAGATACTAATTTCCAGATCTTCTGAAGGAAGGGAATAGATATTGGGAGAAGATGCAAGTTTTTGCCTTTGGTAAAGGTCTAAAATCATTCTTGTGATGGATTTCCCAGCTGGCTTAGCAACAAAAATGAGTTTTTCATATGAAGCATTATGTTCCACAAACAGGTTATCTGTCTAAGATAAGGGTTGATATTTATGGCTGTGGATAAACTGGCATCCACATGGCTATCAATGTCTTCATCCACAGCTGCCCCAGCCTTGGGGCAAAGCATCACAGAGCTAGAGGAGGAAGTCAGCCTTCACATGCTGGGCTATGGGAAAATGTACTCCAGGGGATTTAGTCATTCATATACTTTACTCTTTAGGACAACACTTAGCTCATTAAAACGTAAAATTTTGATAATCGTTTCTTTTAAAAAATTAACAAGAAAAAGAGCGAAAACCACGTTAAAAATCAGCACTGGATCCCCATAAAAAGGAGATTATTAAAGCCAGGGTTCTATCTTCCTCTAGGAACTGGAATGCTAGCTGGCATCGCGTCATTAGCATCTGGATGATCCCAAGCTTTTAGGTCTTATGCAAATCTTTCATTGGGTAGCTGCTGAAATGAAAATGAAATTAAATGCAATAAAATACAAGTCACTCTTAGTGACTTAAAACTGAAAACACTGAGATAAATGATGTGGGAGTATTTATGAGCTTGCGCAGTAGCAACTTGAATTTAGAGTTGAGAGAATGACTATGCTTCATGTGGAGACACATGCGATGTCCCATACAGAAGCGAATTTGAGATTTGCTTTCAAGGCCAAGTGGGTGGCTCCCTGTCTCAAGATATGAAATGCTAGGATACCCATGTTATTGGTAATGCCATCACAAGCTCCAGAAATGCCCGAATATGAACTCTGAGCAGCCTGTGTGTGCACTGCCAGCAAAACCTCCTCCTCATGTTCCCCAGACTCCAGGGCTGGGAGCCTTGTACACCCGATTTCTCTCAACAAGCCGTTCAAAGAGGACAGAAGACGAAATCACTGTGCTGTTTTTACTTTGGTAAACAAACTGCAGGTCTTGAGAGGGACCCAGGCCTGTGTCTTACCCCTGAGGTAAGTTTCCAAGTTGTTTTCCAACAAGACTGCTGGTGCTTAACAGAAAATAGAGAAACCACTTTATTTCTTACTGCCTTCCAAAATTTTGGAGGCTCAATTTTAGAACCATGAGTGGTAAGGTTGGAAGAAACACAGACAAACAGTAACCTGATACATTTTTCTTCTCACTGAAAAATCTACTTTGAATGTAATTAATCAAACACTTATTAAACACCTACAATATGAAAAAGCCATTCTGCTTCACTGATGTGAAAACGAATGTACAAATTAAAAGGAAATTTAATAGATATTAGTTGGCAGTCATTTTGAAGAATAATTGGATTTCAACCTCATGTTTAAGACAGGCTTCGGAAAGCCATGGGAGCGCCTTATCATAAGAGGAAGGTATATTTAAATCACTGTTTCTCACCAATTGGCCACAGTCTGCTTCAATGCCTTCAAAACGCCTGCTCTCCAGGATCCCTAGACAAACAGTCTTGTTTGAGGAAGTGTATCAAGAGCGGAT